TGCTTCTGGCTCCTGCCACGCGCAACCGCGACTCCGAAGCTTTCGTGCAGCGCCTTCTGTGGCTGCGGGGCGGGCGGCGCACGCCGCACCTGAGACTGAGCATCAGCTCGGCCGCCTGCGCCACGTGAACCTGGGCTTCTGCTCGATCGTGTATGAGGCGCCCTATGACGCCGAGACCAGTCTCTACCAAGCCCGCTGCCACTACCTGCAGCCTCGCTGGACCGATTTCCCGGGCCGGATCCTGGATGTGGGTTTCGTGGGCTGCTGGTGGAAGCTGAGGACCCAGATGCAAGACTGTGACATCAACGACGACGAGTTCCTTCACCTTCCCGCTCATTTGCGCGTCGTTAGGTCCCACCACTTGCACTCGGAAGTCAACGAGCGGCTCTTTGACGAGAAGTACAAGCCTGTGGTGCTCACGGACGATCAGGTGGACCAGGCGCTATGGGAGGAACAAGTCTTGCAGAAAGAGAAGAAGGACAAGCTCACCCTGAGTCAGGTCGACACGCTGGTGCAGTCGGACGTCCCGAGATGAAACCCAATGGCCTGGGCCCACATCAGGCTCCGTGCCTTGGAAGACTGTGTGCCCGGAATCGTGCAATCAGAGCCAGTGAGCCTCGTGTGGACAGTAACTGAGATAGATTATCTGCAGTGTTTCTTGTTGGGATTTCCCAAGTTTGGGAACCTTTCCTTTTATTTCTTGTTAGCTGAAGCGAATTGGTCTGGGAGCTAGGGGTAGCCAAACAACTTGCCCATGGAATGTTTATCACCCCTCAAGCTTGTAATGAGCCTGTTATGAAGTCCTTTCTCATTGGGCCTCCCTAATTGAGGTACTGCACTGGTCAGGTGACCTAAAACTCTCCTAGGACCATTCAGATTTCCTACTTTTTAGGATTTTTTTTTTTTTTAAGGTTTTTGATATGGGGCATGTGTGCTTACTAAAGAAAGGGTGGGGGGAGAGTGAGAAATCACCCTGGGAGGATGGCCACACTGCAGTCTCTTCCATTCTCCTACTGGGTTTTTAGGCACACACACTCGCACCGGAGGTGATTTTCAATCCACCAGGTCGAACTCAAACCAGGGTCAGCCTTGTGGCAGTCGTGCACCTTAACCACCTGGTGGCCCCAGATTTTCTTTCTTTAATTTGATTTGAAATGTTTTTTTTATTTGTTTTAATTTGACCAGAGAAAGGCAGACACACGAAGAGAAAGAAAGTGAGAAAGCAAGCCACCAGGTCCGGGACTTGAACCGTTGTCTGCCATGTAGGAGTGTCCAGCACCTTAACTACCATGTCACTTGCTGGCCTGGTCTGAAATGTTTTTACTCATTTATTTTCTCTCTCAGGGTACAGAGTGCACTTGTGTATCAGAGAGAGAAACACACACACACTCACACAAGCACCCTCCGCAGGGTCTGGCCATCTGCCCTCAGCTCCCCAAGATCCTGGGCATGCCCACTTCTCTCTCAGGGTACAGAGTGCACTTGTGTATCAGAGAGAGAAACACACACACACTCACACACGCACACAAGCACCCTCCACAGGGTCTGGCCATCTGCCTTCAGCTCCTCAAGATCCTGGGCATGCCCATGTACCTGGCATGTTCTCAGTCCAGCCAGACTGGTGCATGTGTGACCAGCTGCACCGCAGAGGCTGGACCTATTCTCTCTCATTTTTGTGAAAAATAATTTTTTGTTTCGGGGCCTGCAGGTGGCCTGATGGTTAAGGGCGCTGGACTCCCACATGACTGACCTTGGTTCGAGTCCCAGACCCGGCAGCTTCCTTTCTCACTTTCCTTCTCTCTCCCTCTCTCGCTCTCACTCTCGCTCTGTCCCTCTCTGGTCACAATTTAAAAAGAAATAAAGTTCAATTAAAATAATAATTATAAAAAATAATCTTGTTTGAATTTTCTCTGTTTTGAAATATAACCTCACAGGAAGCTGGGAACCCTTGTACCTGTGTGCCCTTCCCTCAGTTCCGTCCCACGGTAACGTCCTAGTAATACCAAACCAGGAAACTGACATTGGTGTGGGCTTTACCGGGAAATATTCTGCAAAGATCTTCGCCATGTGTGTTTTTGTTGTGATGGGAAATAGCCCAGAAGAATGAAGTGTGTCCCGATCTGAGAATCTGTATGAATAAGTTCCGTTCTGCCTTCGTAACCTTGGAAACGCAGACTCTGTGGAGAGAAAGCATTGCACAGCAGGGAGTTAGCTAGGTTACAGTCATCGTATTTTCAGAGCTAAAATACTGGAGGACCCACAGATGGCGTAATGGTTACTTCACTGGTTTCCCATGTAGTTGACTGTGGTTCAAGTCCCGGACCCAGTGGCTTGAAAAATCACAACAGATAGAAAGAGAGATGCTAAGGGAAAAAAAAAAAAGAGCTAGAATACTAGGAAATGGACCTGCTTTGTCACTTAGGTAGCCTGTGGTAAGTTAATAATGCAGGAGCTCTCGGGACCAGCCGTTGGCCTAATGGCTATGTCGTTAGACTCCCATGTAGTTGACTGTGGTTCAAGTCCTGGACCTGGTGGCTTGAACTAGGGCCAGGCGTGTTGTGCATGCCCAAGATCCCGAGAATGGAGGAGAAGGGATTGCGGCGTGGTCCTCCTGGGGGGTGATTTCTCGCTTTCTGTCTCTCTGTCTCTCTCTGGTGAGCGCACGTGCCCTATAGCAAAAACCTCTCAAAAAAAAAAAAAAAAAAAAAAGGAACCAGCAGATAGCATAATGCTTATGTTGCTGAACTCCAACGTAGTTGACTGCAGTTCAAGTCCCAGACCCGGTGGCTTAAACTCATGCTGAGCGCGTGTACATGTGCAAGATCCCGAGAGGAGAATGGAGGAGAAGGGATTGCGGCGTGTCCATCTCCCCTGAGGGTGATTTCTTGCTTTCTGTCTCTCTGTCTCTGTCTTTCTGGTGAGTACATGAGCCCTATAGCAAAAAACCTCTCCATATAAATAAATAGTTAATTAAAATAATTTTTAAAAATTAACTCGCAATCGTGTGACTTAATCTTCAAACTCATGGTGCTGTCTTTAACCCTAACAGCGTCTCATCAGGTTAATGCTGCTATCACTTGCTAGAAATAAAGCTTAAATACAGAAATAAACAAGTAAATATTAAAACATTTAAAAAAAATTTTTTAGAGCTTTTGCTCTAGGGCACATGTGCTCGTTAAAGAGACAGAGAGGGAACCAGCAGTTAGCGTAATGGCTACGTCACTGGAGAGAGGAGAATGGAGGAGAAGGGATTGCGGTGTGACCATCTCCCCTGGGGGGTGATTTCTCGCTTTCTGTCTCTATGTCTCTTTCTGTTTGTCTGGTGAGCACACGCGCCCTACAGTGAAAATCTCTCCAAAAAAAAAAAAAGAGAGAGACAGAGAGACAGAAAGGGAGAAATCACCCCCCAGTAGGGATGCCCACGCCGCAAATAATCCATTCTCCATTCTTCTCTCAGGATTTTGGGCACGCCTGCACACACACCTGGTGTGAGTTTTAACTTGCCGAGTCCAGTTCTCAAACTGCAGTTGACTACCTGGGACCCAATGACGTAACCATTACACCCTCTGCTGGTCCCCAAGACGGATGTTTCTAAATTCTGTTCTTATACTGTCACTTGTCAAACACGGAAACAAAATTGTCCTCTCCTTAACGTGGCTGCTGAGCCAACTTCAGGGAACGGTTTGAAACACACCGGCATTAAGGTGAGATCTGGGGGCCAACAGATGGCATAATGACTACGTCGCTGAACTCCCATACGGTTGAGCATGGTTCAAGTCCCGGACCTGGTGGCTTCGAACGCATGCCGGGGGCCCGTACGTGTCCCCAAAATCCTGAGAAGATGAGAAGAGGCTGGAGGAGAAGGGATTGTTGCCATCCCCCCAGGGGGGTTATTTTTTGCTTTCTCTATCTCTCCAGCGAGTGCATGGGCCCTATAGAAAAGTTCTCTCTAAAAATGAATATAAATAATATAAGTAAATAATGTTTGGGACCCGTAGGTGGCATAATGGTTTTGTTGTTGGACTCCCACATAGTAGACTGTTTTCGAGTCCTAGACACAGTGACTTAAGTCATGGTTGGGGGACCAGCAGGTGACGTGGTAGTTAAGGCGCTAGACACTGCCACATGGCTGACCAAAGTTCGAATCCTGGACTTGGTGGCTGGCTTTCTCACTTTCTCTCTCTCTGTCTAGCTCTGGTCAAATTAAAATAAATAAATGAGACACCAGCAGTTGGCGTAATGTGTGTGTCACTGGATTCCCGTGTAGCTGACAGCGAGTAGAGTCCTGGACCCGGTGGCTTACGCTCACGCCACGCATGTGTGTGCCCAAGATCCCAAGAGGAGAATGGAGGAGAAGGGATTGCGGCATGGCCATCCCCCCTGGGGGGTGATTTATGTCTCTCTGTCCCTGTCTTCCTGGCGAGCACACGTGCCCTATAGTAAAAAAAAACCTCTCCAAAAAAAAAATTTTTTTTGGAGGGGCCAGCACGTGGCATGGTGGTTAAGGGTGTTGGACTGCTGGACTCCCACATGGCTGACCATGGTTCAAGTCCTGAAACTAGCAGCTTGCCTTCTCACTTTCTCTCTCTCTCTGTTGTCAAATTAAAAAAAAATAAAGTTAAATAAAATCTTTTTAAAAAATTATTTTTTGGATGGCTTTAATGGTTTTAGCTCTCATACTTGTCCCCCGAGAGCATCCTCAGCGTAGAAAGTGTCTTTCTTGCTGTTGTCATTGCAGAGGCCAGCAGAGGGCACCAGAGATTCAGTTCTGAAAACCTGGCTGGCCCCTGGCCTTACTCCTCCCTGCTGGGAAAGGCCTGTCCCGGTTTTTTTTTCATCCTTGTCCAGTAGCGGGTGGATGGAGTGCAGCTCTTTTTCATTGTTTTTTAGATTTTTGTCTTAGGGTGGTTGTGCTCACTAGAGAGAGAGAGAGACAGAGACAATGAGAGAGAAAGTGAGAAATCAGCCCCGGGAGGATGGCCACGCCAGCCATCTCCTCCATTCTCCTCCCAGGATCTAGGGCACGCACGCACATGCACCCAGTGTGATTTTCAAGCCACTGGATCTGGGACTTGAACCACAGTTGCCCATGTGGGAGTCCAATGATTTAACTGCTACTCCGTCACTAACCCCATCTTATTATTATTATTATTTTTTTAGAGGTTTTTGCTATAGGGAGCATCCCCTTCCCAGACAGACAGACAGAGACAGAGAGACAGAAAGCAAGAAATCACCCCCCCCCCGAGGGGGGATGGCCACGCCGCAATCCCTTTTCCTCCATTCTCCTCTCGGGATCTTGGGCACGCACGCACACGCGCCCGGCGTGAGTTTCAAGCTGCCGGGTCTGGGACTTGAACCATGGTCGACTACATGGGAGTCCAGCGACATAGCCATTACACTAACTGCTGGTCCCTTTATTATTATTTTTTAATGGCCAGAAGGTTCGTACACTCACCTGGGAGACAGGGAAAACGTAAGAGGGAAAAAGCACCCCATCGGGGCTTGGTCATAGCACGACCCCTTCTCCATCCTGTCAGGATTTGGGGCATGCACATGCATGCGTGTGCACACGTGCCCAGCAGGTTTTTCAAGCTGTCAGGGCTGGGACTGGAACTCCGGTTGGCCATGTGGGAACCAAGCACCTTCCCATGCAGGGCCTTCCCTGCCTCAGCACCGCCGTCGGCCCCATAGCTCAGGGTCTGCAGGTCCCACAGTGA